CGTATTCAAAATCCATTCTGGTATTTGACTTATTTAATTCCTTTATTCACTAACGCGATTTAAGTCGATAATTATATACGAGGGTAGCTGGGATGTATATTTCGAGATCACTCATTCGATAACGAGTATTCGTTCGATCTAACTGGAGTTAGATATAAGGCCACTAAAATTTTCTAATTATTCCAAAAAGACTTCTGTAACATGATTCTAATGAACAATTTAAACAAAGTATGTATTACTATTAACTGAAACAAAGTATAAGTGTTCTAGATTAAACATTCGTCACTATCGAATATAGAAGTTAATAGTTTTCAAAGCCTTTGAAAATGTAGTCGTCACTTTGCAACTTTTTCAAATGACTCATTCACTGAAAATTAAATTTTCATTAGAACTTCATAACATTTACGCTGGTATTCAACTATTTGATCATTATTTCTTTTGCCTGCCTATTAATTTTCCATTAGAAAATACTGAGCATTTTTACATAAATCTCCAATAAAAGTGTTCTTTCTGATGACTTTTACTTCTTCTTAGAAATATTAGGCTTTCCATACACATGTTCCTACTACGTAAAAGCTACTTAGTTAGCCATATTACCTCTGGTTTTATAGATGAAATGTCTTTCTTTCTGAGAATAGTTGTGAAATGATGATGATTATTGATGTATGTAGAACACATATTAACATTCTTTCGACGACGAACTCAAGAACACCACGCATTAGCTATTTGTTGCATGGATTGTCATCGTTTTAGTAAAGATATTTTAAGACTGGCGTTATCTAGTAGAAACATTATCCAAATAAACTTGTTCAGTCGCGATAAAAATGTCACCCAATTTAATTGTAGCTGTCTTTACGAATGAATGGTATTATAGACTGAGATTATGGAGGCGACAGATAAATACATATTTCTTATGTTAGTGTTGTATAAGGCTAAAGATAGATGAAAAATGCTTCATCCTATTCAAATTATTTGATGTATAGGATTTAGGAATATTTACTTAAAATATCTATTCTTATTATAACTACTCTAGTGGGTTAAACCCCACAACTGAATAATCCTTGTCAGAATAAGAGTTTGTGGAAATTGAAGTAATTTAATGGCTTTATTCATTAGTCGATTTGAGATAGACTATCATCAAAATCCGGAAGAAGTGGACGGCTGTTTTGTCCTAATGTGGGTTTTCTCATCAGTACACATCCACGATCCGGCACATATTCTTCAGTCTCGCGTATGAACTTTTAACATCTAGACCCCTGAGTCGGTATCGAACGGTGTTAATGTCCGACCTCAACCAATCTACGATATTGCGCGACCGTCCATCATTGCCATCAGTGACTAATTGTCTCACAACAGACATGGTTTGACTCTATTGATCACGTCATCTAAAAGACTAATAAAATGTCAAAACTCTAAAAGTGACTGACTTCCAAAATAGAAACAGAAACTTATTTTCTTACAAGACTGATCTTTAACGACATTTTTAACATATTTTATAGTACCATATCAAAGTTAACGCATGAGATAACGATTTTCTTGATTATTATTTTTATTATTATCGAAATAGGCTTCTAATAAACATGACCAAACGTCATCAGTTATGAATAAACTATCACTATCACATACATTAGTAAGTAGCAAATTTAATCTCAAATTTCTTTATTAAAGTCACTTGGTATTATCTAATTGAATCTTCTCATCGATAATTAGGACGGCAATTTATCAATATCTTATTAGCTTATGTACATACTGTGTGTATTGCCTCGATATTATCTTAATTCACAAGCATTATAAGCAAAGATAAATACTGGCTAACAATGAAATCCAGGACGCGCGTTTCATCCTATTTGAGACTCGTCAGCTGAATCTATTTTCATCTTTACCTATATTCTTTTACTAAGTTTAATTTTTTAAAGAATTTTTATACTTATTATCTGATGAATCAGTAGATATCATTCATATAACTATGATTTCATCAGTTTTATTTTATTAAGTTAATGAAATCTAACCTTGTACTAAACTTATTTTCTTATTAGTTCATTTAATTCTCTAAGATTTTTATCCTTAATTTAATGTCAATATAATTTTATTCACATGAAAATATCAAATAATTTATATTGAAATAAACTATAATTTATGATCTTTTTTGTTTTAATCAAAACTATCTTACTACCAAACTTGTTTCATTAGAATGTTAACTTGTCGTTCTAGTTTAATCAGTCAAATATATATATATATATAAGAAAAGAAATAGAAAAGAGAAATTTTTTATATAAATAAGAAGTTTCATCTACATTTGATCGAAGAGTTTCACAATATTTGGGCATCGAGTTAATGTGAGACAATAAAGAGGAAAAAATGTATTTGTAATATTTCAGCGAAAGAATTTGAAGTAAATTCAATGTTTCACTTAGCAATCTTGTTCAAGTTGTTTTTTTAAAGAAATATAATCAAACATCAAAATTATCAAATATAAATAGGTACATGGTTCTCCAGTTTACTGTATACTGAATAAGTCATCCAATCAACGTTAACAATGTTTAAAGTAGGTATTTACATTAGTGTGTAAGAGACATGTGGTGTGAAAACAAAAAGTGTTAAGATAACAGATTGTGTGTATACGTAAGTGAGAAGAAAAAATTTCATTCACTGTATATTGTCTTCGGTTGGTGAATATTAAGAAAACATATGATATATGACATGAAACAAAAGTGTCACAGCATGCATAAAATGAAGATAAATAAACAAGATAAAATAATGAATTCAAAAAGGAAGAATGTATTTGTAATTGAAAGTTTATGTTATTTTTAATGTTTTAGTCAATTGTTTAACCATATTCAGATAAGATAACTGATTTGAATCGTTGAATGTAATATCTGTTAATTAGTTAATACGATATAGATAGAATGGAATGAGTTCAGGTTTACTTAATTATTGTTAGTTGCCATGGTGAAGCTAGTTGTATTCCATATCTCGTATAAATACAGTTTGGATTAGCTATTAGTCTTTCTTTGTGAGAATTAAAGCCTTTTTGAAGGTTTCTTGTGCCATTGAAATCAATTGTATAACCTGATTCTATCGAGTGTAATGCTATCGCTGATTTGTTCTCAAGTTTTCTTACCTCAACTGAAGATTTAGAAATGTGCTTTAAGCATAGTTTGTGTTCCTTCACCCTCACATTATGTTGCCTTGATGTTTTACCCACATACGTTGCATTACAGTCACTACATTTGATCTCGTAAACACAATTCTGTTGTTCTTCCTTGTGTATTGGATCTGTAGTGTCTGTTATTATGTTAAGCCCATATATCTTATTCTAGCTTCGGGACAGCTCTATCTATTAATTCTACTCGAGTCACATTCTGACCTTGTTAATTATTCGCTTATCAACCTTGACTGTTTTTTATATGAGCGCGTAGGTGTGTTACATTTCTTATCCCATTACTCATCACATGTCTGTAGTCTATTCTTGTGTAACTATAAGTATTGCTTAACGCTTGGTTAAATGGAAGTTGGCTTACCCGCCATCTCCACTCGGTGTTGTTTTTCTTCTCTCTATTCAATTCGCTTTATATCCAAAATATATGTATTCAAAAACCCATTCTCATTTGACTTATTTAATTGTGTTATTGACTAGCGCGATTCAAGTCGATGATTATATACGAGGTTAGGCAACATATATATTCGATAACAAACGTTCATACGATCTAATTGGAGTCACATCCACAGGCCACTAAAGTGGAGAGCCCGTCAACAAACATCGTCCGATCTAAATGAGGACAAAATTACGAGCCCACAGATCCTTGATTCTTACTAGTTTTGATCATAGAGTATTGTGTGTTTGAAAGAATACTCTTATATTTTGAAGAGTTAGAATCCTTCTGATCTCTTCGGAAATACCTTTACGATATGGGATCACCACTGTGTTAATCCATTCTTTTTGCTTAGATCTTTTTTAATAATATCGTTTTGTTCTTCATTCTTAAGTATTCTTTTAATAAAATCCTTCAGTGCATCCACGCTACCAAAGTGACAGTAGCGTCATAATTCTTCTAAATGAATACCTTCCAACTCCCAGAGCAGAGTTTAAGTGGTTTGAATTATTTTTTCTGGTTAGCGTTTTTTAGCGGGATGGGTTCACTAACCCAATGCACAACCCTCCTCCTTTACCCAGGCTTGGGACCGGCAGTAACTCTAGAAGAGCTACTGGCGGAGTTAATTTTGATTAGAACCAAATCTAATAATTGTGGCTTTACTGTTCACTATGAATGTTGGTGTAATAACTTTATTATTAATATATTTAGGTCGATAATTTGACCTAAGTAAAAACTTTTCAAGTGCATATATGAATAAAATATACCTGAACTATTATAGATAACTTACTAATTCAGTTGACTATTACTATATACTAAAGGAAATTTTAAACTTTATAAATCACATCACATTCAAATAAAATGTCTAGTTTACTTTTAGCCGTTGACAAGATGATAAAACTAATTATGAATTACCATTTCATTTATTGTTTACAGAATACTTAAACACTAATAAATCTTCATCAGAGAAACAAACAATCAAATTATTTAATTGCTCAATTCCCGGTAAACAATACGATGCTTTATTGATTTTAACACATACACTTATGATAAGTTTATAATATGAAAACAGAATAAATGACAATAAAAGGAGAATGATTGGAATCATTAAACTGTCCGGCAAACAAGGCCGACTTAAACACATATAACATTTTACTCCTCTTGATTAATTTAAATAATATTTTCCATTAGTGAAGATATAAAGTCAGAACAAAAATTATTGAAATGACTGCTAAATAGAAAGTATAAACTCTATCAAATCGACAAAGAAAGAAATGTGAAACAAGCAGAAATTAATTTGTCTTTTTGTGTAAAAGGACGTCCAAAGAGTAATACTATAGTGAATGTTTTGTTCACAGTCTAATTTATGATGGAAACAGACTATCACTTTGAAAAAACACATTAGGACCCAGAGCAAAATTACTACTATATATCAATATCCCCAATTATTTATTATTATTATAAGAAGCTTTATTCAACATTATACTTTTGGTACAACATAGAATTCTCAGCATAAAGTATTTCAACAAGTTTCTTTTTCTTATATCTTGATCGATTGTGACGATAAATTTCGAATAATGACCAGTTAGATGTTAGGAATTCGGTAATCCACATTTGATTAATGTTCATTCGTTTCATTGCATATTGCCAGCCACCATGATGTCGCTGATTGTACTTTTCTGTATCCCGTATAGCGAAAAGTTGTAAACTTTTCATAAACGCGCCCGAATAGATTGTGAGCACAATAGACATATTGATGTGCTAAAGCAAACAACAAAACAGATAACTTGAAGAAATATCTAGATCGAAGGAACAGGTAGCCCAGATATTCAACCAGGCCGCCGGATCATGGTATATTACCTCAGCTCGTAAAAGGAAACATTTGTCGTGAAGAAAATAATATTACAAAAAATAATATGTTTATGAATAGTCTATTATTTACATCCAGAAGTTCATTCCTTGCAACTGAATTAATAAAAAAGATTGGTCGTCAAATCGAATCCTTTAAAAGTATATTTAAATGATGAATAGTATGAGGAGAAATAATGACTTTCATTAGCAACAACTTCGAAGCCAAATGAAGTCTGTTTCTTGTCATCTTTATATAGAAATTAAATTAACGTATCATTGGTTAACAGAAATTCCAACCTCCAGTCAATTAGTTTACTTTCCATCTTGTACAATATAAAAGATTTAGATGAAACATTTAAAGCATAAAATACTACTTATTAACATGTACTGTTAATCAATAGAGACCAAAATACTGATAGTTAACCATTAAATTAAGTAACACAAATATCATAAGATTACCATATTTTCCAGCACATATAATCTGATGAAATCAGGGTACACTTGCAAAAGAGTCAAATATTTTGAAAGATATCATCTAAATCAAAACCTGTATGTAACTATTGTTTATTTTAAACAAATTATGATATTCAACAACAAAAAATAGTAGTGCTCTACTGGATATTAATGAAAATCAATTCAGAAGGCTGGAAAAATATAAAAATATCTTGAAAATACCAGATTGTTTATACATTTTATTTTAAAGATGGTAATGTGATACTATGAAATGAAGCTCTTATAATTAAAATTTTTATTAAACATGTAAATTATTATCAGACGGGGTTTTATGGTAATTGTAGAAATTTCACTAGTTTGGATCATGAGTCGATGGAAGCTAGACCACCATGGAAAACCTGGAAGCACTGGGCGGCTGTCTTGTCCTAGTATGGGACTCCTTGGCAGTGCGCATCCACAATCTTGCTGCAGAGATTCGATCCCAGGGCCTACCAGTCTCGCGTGCGAGCGCTTAACCACTGAGTCGGCCGTCTAGTGCTTCCAGGTTTTTAATGGTGGTCCACCTTCAATTGACTCATGATCTCAACTAGTGAAATGTAAATTATTATTTTTTGCTAGTGAATTTCATAGATCAACGTTAAGATTCCAAAAGTTAAAACATCTTAAACAAATAATTAACCAGTAATCATGGTTGTTCTCTGGTTCAAACTTTACAGTCGTCATGCTATTATTAAAAATAATAAAACACGTAAAATATTAAAAGCTCCATGAATTTTAGAACATCTGCCCATAACTTAAAGCTGCTTCATTGACAAAATATTTTTTCAAAGAAAAATGTAGATGGAATTCAGTCATTTAGATTTATTTTTTAATGTATTGTTTGAAATGCAAAGATGGCTTGAAGTGGAATCAGAACTCAGTAGCTAAGTGGATAACGCTATGACGTTTGAAACGAATTCTACTGGGTTTCAGTCCCAGAGTAAACATTAACTCTGAGATGCAGGTATATCCAGCTGACAAGTCTCAAATAGGACGAAACGCTCGTCCTGAATTCCATTGTTAGCCATTATTCATCTTTGCTTATAATGCTTGTGAATTAAGATAATATCGAGGCAATACACACAGTATGTACATATATCAATAAGAGACTGATCAATTACAGTCCTAAACATTAATGGGAAGATTCAAGTAAACAATATCAAGTGGATTTATTGCTTCAAAAGTTTCATATTTTCTTTATAGTATAAAATGAAACTATGAATATTGAATCAATAAAGTAATATTGTTTACAATACTGTCAGTCGTTAGATCTTGTCTGCCATAGATAAAATAGTTTAAGAAGTAAACAAAGAATTCAATTGATATTTCAAGAAATAATAAACATACTATAAGAACTAAATATTCACAGTGAAAAAGATTGTCAGATGATGATTTACATCAAAATACAAAATGTTTAGAAAAAAGAAGATTAATTCTATAAATGAGATTAGTCTCAAAGTGGAACAGAAAATATTCTTTAAAATGAAAACTGTTTAACAATCAACTTATCATAAATTATATAATTTGACAAATATTAATTGTTACAGTTGAATTCACGAGTTGATTTAAGCTAGATCATCATTAAAAACCTGGAAACAATGAATGACCGTTTCGTCTGAGTATGGGACTCCTCAATAGTGCACATCCACGATCCAGCACACGAGATTCAAATCCCGGACCTCCAGTCTCGAGTATGAGCGCTTAACCTCTAGACCACTAACCTGACATCTAACGATTTTAATGTCTAACTTCAGTCAATCCATCATCTTGAGCAACCCATCTACCATTGTTTGAAGTCGATAACTATCTCACACCTAACAAGGAATGGACTCTACTGGTTACTAAAACTCCAAGGAATCCATCTTGAAGCTAGTCATTAGTGGGTACATGATTATTATCAGTATGGAACCAGTGGAGTCCAGGTTTTCAATGGTGGCTTAGCTTAAATAGACTCGTGAATTCAATTGTGAAAATCTACAACTGCCAAATATTCAGTTAGAATATCAAAGAGCTCAATATGTGATTTAGTAGATCACTTTAAATTGTTCTGCTTTGTACATACTCATGTAAGCATGTAAAACAGAAAACTACAGCTCACAGTAATTTATCAATAAATCATCGTAAATTATAGAATGAATCATGAAATAAACTATGTGGTTTGGCAAAGAGATCTTCATTAGAGATATCATTCTCATAGCTGTATAATATAACGTTTTTTGTAAAGTAAAATGTCTGTAAATATGAAATTTCGTTTCAGAATCATAACTTCTCTAAACTGATATCATCTAGAATAAAATGAAATCACTCCCTTCCACAACTAGTATTATGTAATATTAAATATAACATTATCGATACTGTGATAAATAATAATCTGAGAAACGTTTTGAAATTCTTTTCTTTTATAATATAAAATCATTAGTCTAGCAGGCCTTGCATGCTATTTAATATATAAAGTAAATGGTAATTTTGTTCACCAATTTTATTTCCTGATGACTTTATCAGTTAATTTTAACTTACTTACTTACTTACTCCTGTTACTCCTCGTGGAGGATCTTAGGCTGCTCAAGTTAATTTTAACACTAAAAATTATTTGTAAAGATGGTTATAGCTTTCTAAATGCTATTTTTGTTCTAGTCAGAAGTTATTCAGTAATTTATCTTACATCCGTTTCTCAAAGACTTATTTATCTATTATAAAGTTTTTGTTTGTTTACTATGACGCAATGTTGTGTTAATGAGAAATCATCGAACTATTAATAAATCATTTCGTCACGCTCCAGTAATTAAATATTGAACCATTCACTCGAATTTGTCAAGTTCCAAAACGAACAATAGAGAGCAGCGTGTATGATTGCTTGGTTGCTATTTGTTTACATTACTCATCATTTCTTATGCTTCGTGCAATACAGATTTGTTATTCATTTGAGAATAAGTACTTCTATCAGCTAAAGAACATCTGTCACATAGATCCCTGAAGAAAGGCTTGTGACTAAACTTTTAAAAAGCTTTGCCAACATTAATTTCAAGGTAAATCACGTTCATAACTCCATCCCAATTTATCAGTAAAATTCATTTGTACAAATCAAACAAAAAGCTACAGTTTTTTGTTCTTGTTTTAAAATCAATTTATAACTATACATCTAGGTTACTACATTTGTTTGTTCGTTATCTACAATCATATTACAATCGGTTACAAAAAAATGAACCCAATCTAGTTTATCTTCAAGACTTATCATAAGAAATAAACATTATGTGCAATGTTTTACAAACGCAGATTTAAGCTCTGATACTGATCTTTTTACCGAACAAATATAATTACTTCATCTACCAACTAGTTAACTGAATGAAAACTAAGAAATGGTTATTGTTAGTTCAATAAAATCTGAACATTATTTCTGTGCTTTTCCCTATTGAATGTTGATTACTAAATGAATTATTTGTATTTTTCAGCCAAGAATATTCACGAAATCAAACTGATATTTATCTGAAAACTTTACCGGATTGAAGTAACTTTATCCTGTAAATACAAATCACTTGAAAATAAATAAACAAAATAAAAGTTGTTAATAGAATATGGAGATATTTTGATCAAGGTTCTTAAGTGTAATGATTATTTCTCTGTTTCTGTAGACTAAATTGTATATCTTGTAAATCAAATCCAACTGAAATGACACAAATATGCACAAGTTAAAATAAAATACAAAATAACTGTCAACCAACACCAAGATCAGAATTTTCAATACAAATGTCAAGAAAGTTCTAGTGTATGGGGCGGAAACGCAGCGAACTATGAAAGCCATCATCTAGAAGATACAAGTGTTTGGTAACAGCTTTCTACGCAAAATATTTCGGATCCGTTGGCCAGATATTATCAGCAACAACCTACTATGGGAGAGAACAAAGCAGATCCCAGTGGAGGAAGAAATCAGGAAGAAGCGCTGGAAGTGGATAGGACATACACACATTGAGTAAAGCACCCAGCTGTGTCATACGGCAAGCTCTCACTTGGAATATTCAAGGCCAAAGAAAAAGTGGAAGATGAAAGAACACATTACAACGAGACATGGAGATAGACATGACCAGAATGAACAAAAATTGGATAGAAGTGGGAAGTAATTCCGAGGACAGAGTGGGTTGGAGAATGCTGCTTGGCAGCCTATGCTCCATTGCGAGTAATAGACGTAGGTAAGTAAGTAAGTAAGTAAGTAAGTAAGTAAGTAAGTAAGTAAGTAAGTAAGTAAGTAAGTAAGTAAGTAAGTAAGTAAGTAAGTAAGTAAGTAAGTAAGTAAGTAAGTAAGTAAGTAAGTAAGTAAGTAGTAAGTAAGTAAGTAAGTAAGTAAGTAAGTAAGTAAGTAAGTAAGTAAGTAAGTAAGTAAGTAAGTAAGTAAGTAAGTAAGTAAGTAGTAAGTAAGTAAGTAAGTAAGTAAGTAAGTAAGTAAGTAAGTAAGTAAGTAAGTAAGTAAGTAAGTAAGTAAGTAAGTAAGTAAGTAAGTAAGTAAGTAAGTAAGTAAGTAAGTAAGTAAGTAAGTAAGTAAGTAAGTAAGTAAGTAAGTAAGTAAGTAAGTAAGTAAGTAGTAAGTAAGTAAGTAAGTAAGTAAGTAAGTAAGTAAGTAAGTAAGTAAGTAGTAAGTAAGTAAGTAGTAAGTAAGTAAGTAAGTAAGTAAGTAAGTAAGTAAGTAAGTAA